CCTTTCTCCTCTTCCTTCTCCCTTTCTCCCTCTTTCTCTCCCTCTCCCTCTCCCTCTCCCTTTCCCTCTCCCTTTCCTTCTCCCTTTCCCTCTCTCCCTCCCCCTCTTCCTCCCTCAGAACTTACATAGTAGCTCTCCACTATTTCCCTCTGTGTTAGTTCCACTTTCACAAATATTTTCTCCAAATGATGGCTCAGGTGGCCACATGGTTATACCTGTCAACTTAGCAGCCCTCTCTGTGTTCAGGCTCGTGTTAGTTGAGAAGTAGGCAGTGAGTGGCTAACCCAGTTTTTCATCATTGTGAATTATGGTTATGAACAAACAACACAGCACAGAAGCAGAGTCTTCTGTGACATTCCTTGCATTACTATAAAAAATAAACAGACCTTTAGTAGTATAAACTCTGCTTTTGCTTGTAGTGGTAGAGCATACCATGAGAGCAAAACCAGAAGTTTCAAGGCCTCTTGAGTTCTTTCCAAATTCTTATAGCATAACTTTCACCACATCTTGTCATATAGCAAGTCACTGAATGAGCCTGGATTTTTACAATGAGGAAATAGGCTATCTGTTAATGGGAGAAACTGTGGGCAAAGAGTTGCACAAGCTGGGACCTGTAGGTTGTCACATTGGACCTGGGGCTGCTGCCTCCACATGGTCACTCATCTGTATAAAAGAGCTGTTAGGTAGATACATGTGTGCAGCATGTGTCTCAACTTTTGACTGCAATCTTTAGAAACAATGTTAGTAAAAAAAAACAAAAAAAAAACAAGTGGTCAAAGTTTAATGAAAATATAAGAAAACACTGAAGTAATTCAAGTACTCAAGATACGTAAATCATTACCAATTTAAAGCTCAACTAAGGAAAAATTGAATATATGAATTGTTTTGTTAATTTGTTACCAAGTGCTCTTGTTCTAAGAAGGGGAAAGGAACTAATTTTTTTTTTCAGTGTGCCTGTAACATGCCCAGCATCAGGTTTATAATGTAACTAATTTATTCCTCATTGCAGTTTTGTGAGATGGACTTTTATCCCCTCTGCCCCCCATTTCAGATAAGAAAGCTGAGATTCAAGGAACTTACTTAAGTTTGTGTAATGAGCAATGTGGCTCTTTAAAGAGGCTCACAGCCTCTTTACTCCAAAGATAATACTAGTTTTCCTCATCCATCTTCCTTGCTTATGGGCATTTCTATTTAATAGAAATGTAAAATGATGAATGTTTATATTGAAGGCCTCATTAATTAATTGATTTGTCTGTTGTGTGTTTCCACCTTGCAGTATTTAAATCTGGCAATTTTCACTCGAGTCAGTCTACATGTATAATGAAAGAAATGTTGCTTTGTACTTCAACTTCACAATTGTAAATATTAGCAAATAATGTAAGAAATTTTTATTAAAGACACTGAATACCATTTGTATGATACAGCTCTGACGATACTGCTTTCCTACAAATATAAGTTCTAGTTATATTTTAAAAAGCTAATAAAAAACATAGTAATCATTTTCATCTTCTGGCATTTTATAAATTACATTTGCTTGCCCAATTTAGGAAGCGCTATAGAAATGAAGGGAGTCCCAGCCCTCGGCAGTCACCTAAGCGCCGGCGTGAGCATTCTCCTGACAGTGACACTTACAACAGTGGGGATGACAAAAGTAAGCACAGCCTGTTTCTGTGTTTGTATCCATACTTGTTTGTAACTATGACCAATTGGAACCGATAAATTAAGATTTCAAAAAAGCTTTCTTGCCCTAAACAATTCCTTTTATGCCTGAAGTATATTAGAAACAGTCATCACAGTAGCTCTTTTTCCATTTGTAGTTAAAGCTATATTTTTATCTGACTGAACTTACTGCCATTTAAAACTTTTTAAGTTGAAAAATGAGAGATTATCTCCATTTCCTTTAACTGTAATGTACTGCGTTTATTATCCTGAGGAAAATGGGATTACTTTTATTTTTTATGTAGATGATAAACACAGGCTCTTGAGCCAGGTTGTCCGACCTCAAGAATCTCGTTCTCTCAGCCCATCACACCTCACAGAAGACAGGCAAGGTAGGTGGAAAGAAGAAGATCGTAAACTGGAAAGAAAAGAGAGCTCACGGCACTATGAGGAGCAAGAACTCAAAGAGAAAATTTCTGCTGCAGATAAACAGAGAGAACAGGCAGAACTCCTAGAAAGCTCAAGAGCACGTGCACAAGACATGATGGGCCACCACCAGTGTGAAGATCGTGACATATGTGATCGAGCTTATGACGAAAGTAAGAAAAAGGCAAAACTTCAGAAGAAACCTATCAAGAAAAAAAAAGAGGATGATATTGGGATAGAGAGGGGTAACATTGAGACAATATCTGAAGATGGCCAAGTCTTTTCACCAAAAAAAGGACTGAAGAAGAAAAATATTGAAAAAAAACATAAAAGATCCAAAGGTGATTCTGATATTTCTGATGAAGAAGCAACCCAGCAAAGTAAGAAGAAAAGGGGTCCACGGACGCCCCCCATGACAACCAAAGAGGAACTGGTTGAAATTTCCAGTGGTAAAGATGGCACACCAGAGGATCCTCAGAGGAAAGAAGACACGGCCTTTAGTGACTGGTCTGATGAGGATGTGCCTGACCGGACGGAACTGACAGAACCAGAGCGTGCTGCCACTGCTGCTACTCCTGGTAGTACCCCTTCTCCTCTGTCTTCTCTTCTCCCTCCTCCTCCTCCTGTGGCTGGTGCTGCTGCTGCTCTTGCCTCTGCTGCTGCTACTGCTGGTACCACCTCTGGCACCATTTCCACCTCTGCCACCCCCAACAACAGCAGTGCTCCTTTTGCCAGTGAAGAGTTACATAGAAAATGCCACAGAACACGGGTGGAAAAAGTAGAGGCACCTCACGTGACTATAGAAGATACACCACATCGCAAGCCATTGGATCAAAAGAGGAGCAGCAGCCTCGGGAGCAATCGGAGTAATCGTAGTCACACCTCTGGTCGTTTGCGCTCTCCATCCAATGATTCTGCCCATCGGAGTGGGGATGACCAAGGTGGTCGAAAGAGAGTGCTGCATAGTGGCTCAAGAGATAGAGAAAAAACAAAAAGCCTGGAAATCACAGGAGAGAGAAAATCTAGGATTGATCAGTTAAAGCGTGGAGAACCCAACCGAAGTACTTCTTCAGGTAATAAAAGTTGAATTATGGTCTAATCAGTGTTTCTTGTTAGTATATTTTATACAGATTATAATTCTAAAGTAATGCTAAATTGGTTACTTTGTATACTGCCTTAAATTTTATGGAACTTAAAGGCCTATTAAAATCTCACCTGTTATCACTTTAATACCAACATTATAATAGAGGTCCAGTGTTACTAGTTTAATATCATGATTTTAGAGGTATGTCTTGGTCAAAAGCCTTATGTTTTCAAGTCCTGTTGCACAACCTGCAACACCAACCTAGCTATCCTTCCTGCAGCCTATGATGCATTTTTAACCACAAAAAACAAGACAGGAGTGAGGAGAGATCAGAGAATGAAATAGTTCTATTAATGTCTAACCAATTTATATACTTATGACATCTTGTACCTGTAGTGGAAATAGACATGAAAGCCCCCCACACCAAACACACACTGGGAATTTAACCTGAGGCCTTCACACTGAACTATATCTCCAGCCCTTTTTATTTTTTGAGACAGGATTATCCAGGTTGCTAAGTTATCCAGGCTAGGCTCAAACTTGCAGTCTTCTGTCTTGGCCTCCAGAGTACTAGGATTACAGTGTGCACTACCATGCCCAACTATGAAAATTTTTGTTTACCACTTTCATCAAGAAAGAAATTTCCCCTTAAAATAGTTATTTGGAGAGAGAAATATATAATAGTATACTTTTTATAAATGTAATAATAGTATTTGAAGAGAAAATTCAATACTGAAAAATGTGTAGAATATAGAAGCTAAATTGTGAATTTTCAAGGGCCCTAAAATATTTTGTTTTCCTTTTATTATACATTAACTTTTTGTGTATGACATTTTAATTTTAGATCGCCAGGATTCAAGAAGCCATAGTTCAAGAAGAAGTTCTCCTGAGTCAGATCGGCAGGTCCATTCAAGATCTGGGTCGTTTGACAGCAGAGATAGATTTCAAGAACGAGATCGATATGAGCATGATAGAGAGAGGGAGAGAGAGAGGAGAGATACAAGGCCGAGAGACTGGGACCGAGAAGCTGATAAAGATTGGTCACGGAACAGAGATCGTGATAGATTGCGGGAGCGAGAAAGAGACAGAGATAAAAGGAGAGACTTGGACAGGGAGAGAGAGAGACTAATCCCTGATTCTCTTGATAGAGACAGAGAAAGAGATAGAACTTTTGAGAGTTCTTCTCAAATGGAGTCTATGAAACGCAGTGAATCAAAACTGGAGAATGAATATGAAAGAGACCTAGAAGGCTCTTCTCGCGACTCTGTAGCTTTGGATAAAGAAAGAATGGATAAAGATCTGGGGTCTGCACAGGGATTTGAAGACCTGAATAAAGCTGAGAGACCTGAGAGTGTGGAAGGTGAGTGCCGCACCCGTTTTCTGTTTCATGGCTGCTTTGCTTTTCCGATTTTGTGGGAAACAAGTATTTCTTTTGAAAGGCCATCCACCAGTAGGCAGATTGACTGATTCTTTTATAGAAGAAGTAAGTTCATAAGGAAAAGCCCTCTGATTTAAAAAAAAAAAAAATATGTTCTTAGTACTAGTGTCAATGCAAATTTGGTTCCAGTAAGCCTATGAGCGAAAAGATAGTGATTGAAAGAAGAAAGCACAATCAGAGTTAAGTAATCAATTTTGCTACTGCCTAACCATTGGAATAAAAGATTGCTTAGATACAATCTCTATAGATGTTAAAGAATAACAACATCCTTTACTTAAATGCTAAAAAAATAAAAGTCACAAAATTCAATTCCCTTCTTAATTCAGAGAGGGATTCAAATAACTATTAGTGGTTCTTTTTCTCTAGGGCAATTGAGAGTGAAAGCAAATATATGAAATAATAACACCCCAGAAACTGATTTAATGACAGATCCACTGCAGGAGCCTGCTAGCGCTTCCCACCCCTAGAGCACAAGTGTAGAGAAGTTGATGTCAGCGCCTTGGCCCAGTCAGAGCTGGTCATGGCTCTGTGGAGTGCCACTGTCCACTCTGGCTCTCTTTGCTGCCCTTGCTCCCGCCCTGCCGGACAAACTATTTTAAGGATGAAGGACATGGACTCCAATCACAGGAGAGGTATTTCAATGATTATTTTAGTTATATTCAATTATACCCCAGTGTTGTACCTCCATTAGAACCATTGCTTGTGATTTCATGCTATTTGTACTCCATATTGAGATGAACATGTAATGTGAAAAAAGCTGAGGTAGAAATGCTTTTTGTCAAGTTCAATAGAAAAATACATATAATAGATGGCAGTTTGGGATATCTAATTCAATAACCAGGAAGTATAAGGATCCACTTTTTTGTTGTTGTTTTTAATTTGTTTTTGTTTTCATTTTGAGATAGGGTCTCACTATGTAGCTCAGGCTGGCCTGGAACTTGCAGTAATCCTCCTGCCTCAGCCTCCTGAGTTCTGGGATTACAGGCATGGGCCACCACACCCAGTTAGAATCCACTTTTAAAAGCAGTAGAGTGGGCCAGGGATTTAGCTCAGTGGTTTCGCCCCCTGCTGCACAAGCGCAAGGACCCAAGTTCGATCCCCAGTACCAAAAACAATTAAAATTTTAAAAAAATAAATAAAAGCAGTAGATTTTACTATAGGCTAAATGCTATGTCATTTGGCAAATTAAAATAAGTAAATAGAAGATTATTGCTTCTATACTAATTGTCTTTATCCTGGAACACTGATGGCGAACCTGTGGCACACACGCCACAGCAGGTCTACAGAGCCCTCTCTGTGGGCACATGAGCCAAGTCGCCCTAGCAGCCGAGCATCATATAATAGTTGTTTTTTCTAAGCTAAAACCTCAGTATTCAGGTTTAATTGCAGTATTGGCACTTTGTGGTAAATAAGTGGGTTTTGGGTTACAGTTTGGGCCCTTGGTCTCAAAGAAGTTTGCCATCACTGTCCTAGAAGATTTACCCCAAATTTAGACAAGCTGAGCTTTGTCTTTCCATTTTCTAGTCCCTCTTTCTATTCATTCTTCCCATTTTCTGGTAGACATTTTCCCTTTCATCTTCACTTACTCAAACTTCAAGTCTTGATGTATGTGCATTACTTCCTCTATGAAACCTTCTAGTGCTGTGGACACTTTTTTTTTTTCAAATTCCTACAGCACTTTGTACATTTTTTGCAAAATCACTATACTGTATTATAATTATTTTTCCAAGATTTTCTCCCCAGTGTATGTGCTCTTTTTTAGAGACTGTAGCTTTCATTCTTTATCATTAGGACTATAGTAAGGACACAATAAAATCGTGATGAATGAAGATGTGTTCTGCCTGAATGTACAAACCCCCACATCTTATTTCTTGGTGAATTATAGCTCAGGTTATAGGAGTAATACTTTCTCTCAAAATTTTCCTGGAGGGCCAGGGATTTAGCTCAGTGGCACCACGCCTGCCTCACAAGCACAAGGTCCTGAGTTTGATCCCTGGTACCAAAAAAAAAAATTATCCTGGAAATTCTGCCTCCTTGCTCCTTGGGACTGTCCAGCTCTGTTATCAGTACTTATATCATTGTTCTGCTAAAACTCTGAGATTTTTTTTATTTCCACACAAGAACCTTTGGCCTATAGTAAAATTCACTGCTTTTAAAAATGGATTCAAAAAGAAAAAAATATATAAAAGTGGATTCATGTATCTCTTGATTAGCCAGTTAGATGTTCCAATATGTCATTTGTTATATATATTTTCTTTTTCTGACTTGACAAAAACATTTCTACCTTAGCTTTCTTTACATTATTTTCATATCAAATTTAAGTATGAATAGCATCAAATCATGAGCCATTGTTCTAATGGAAGTACAATCTTGGGGAATAATTGAATATAATTAAACTAATCATCATGATAGCTCTCCTAATTGCTGTCAATGTCCCTCATCCCTAGGATATGTAATTTGCCAGTTGTTACTACAGATAATGAAGCATAGAAATTTAGAGGTGAACCACCTCCTCTACAGTATAAATATTTTATTCATTTAAAGTAAGAAAACGAGTTCGGTGAACTTAAAAACATAAAATCTTATTTTGTAGGGGCCAGGGATTTAGCTCAATAGTTTCGCCACCTGCTACAGAAGCGCAAAGACCCAAGTTCGATCCCCTGTACCAAAAAAAAAAAAAAAATTGTATTTTGTGCATTTATGTTTAGATGTATAATTATATAACAAAATTATTAAAGTGGCTTACCATAGAGATAAAGTGGTGGGCATGTGGGACATTTATTATAGAATTCAATAGAACAGAGAGTTCTTAGAATGATTAGAAACATTTCATGGCCTCATTTCCTGCACATTCATACCCATAAAGTGTACTGTTGCAGTGTGAAAACATTTAGTGTTGTAGATTCGCTAAAGTGTATGGATAGCTAATGATTAGTAATACTAAGCATTTGCTATAGATTTAAGGTTAAGTTTGTGACTAATTCACCATGATATGCTCTGAGGTACTAATTGGGAAAAGTTGATGACATGAAGAAGTGGAATGAACACTACTGGTAGTAGCAAAGATATTTTGAAATTGTGTTATAACATTTTCCTAGAAGCTGCATTCATTAATTAAATAAAAATATTGGGATAGGAAAGATGAATTGGGAGGTAGGGAAAGAATTAATGGCACGTCTACATTTTACCTCACTGCTAGAAAGTTCTTCATATAATGAGTTAAACATTATAAAATGAGATTTACATTTAAAATACATTTTTAAAATAATGTTTGCAATTTTTTAATTAATAAGTTTATTTAGGTAAAGAAATTGTAAACTTCTTTTGTTTTTTTGGTACTGGGGATTGAACTCGGGTCCTTGCGCTTGCGCAGCAGGCGGCGAAACCACTGAACTAAATCCCTGGCCCTTTTTGTAGACTTCTGAAGTTAAAGTTTTCAGACTGCTAAAATTTTATTATCAAGAATTAACACAATATACATAACAGTCAACATTAATGTATTAGTGGTAGCTTTTATTTCTCATATTTTAATTCTAATCTTATAAGAGTAAATATTGCTGTCTATACTGAATTTTTACTACTAAAAATAAATCTAATGAAAATTTCTCCATTTTCTTTTGAAATGATTTTTTCACTAATTAAGAAATGTAGTTTTCTGATTTAAAAATGCTTTTCGGGCCAGGGATTTAGCTCAATAGCACTGTGTCTGCCTGGCAAGCACAGATCCTGAGTTTGATTCCCGGTACAGGGTGGGGTTGGGGGCGGGGGATGCTTTTCACAGTGTTTTAGAGTGCACATTCTCTACCTTTTGGTTTGACTTAGACATCCCTTCCCTTTAATGCTTTTTTTTTTTTTTTACATTGTCTGCTTAGCAGGAGATGATGAATCCAAGTTAGATGATGTACATTCATTAGGCTCTGGTGCTGGAGAAGGGTATGAACCAATCAGTGATGATGAGCTAGATGAAATTCTGGCAGGTGATGTGGAAAAGAGAGAGGACCAACAGGACGAGGAGAAGATGCCAGGTAATCATTGCAGAGGTGGTTCAGCATAAAAATTACCCCATTCATGTTGTTCTCTGTTCCTTTTCATTTTAATGAATTGATATAAGACACTTTGAGTTTTTTGCTTCATATTTTAATTAAGGTTGAAAGACCAACAAAAGGAAAATTACAGTCAGTATTCTTGGTCATCCATTCATTTTGAAGTAGATTTTGCTTATGAAAGAGCCTCATTTGAGAATTTGAGAAAGCAAAATTCTAAGATTCCCTTTCTAAAGGTTTTTTTTGTTTGGTTGGTTTTGGTTTTGAGGTGCTTTGTTTTGTTTTTTGAGACAGTATCTCACTGTGTAGTTCAGGCTTACCTTAAACTCACTATGGCCCATGACAATCCTCCTGCTTCAGCTTCCCGAGTTTTGGGGTTTCAGGCTGGCACTACTATGCCCATCTCCTGTGTAGAGTTTAAGTTGGCTTGTGGCACTGGAATTGTGAAGCGCTGTATATGCCTATCATGTAGAAGACAATCAGTATTTGGTAAGATTCTGGATTATATACTATGAACCTTAAATTCAAGTTTTTTTTATAGTAAGGATCCCTGCTTGGTCTAGACACATAAAATATGAAATCTTTATTTTGATTTGATTTGCTCTTATATTCCAAAATTCTTTCTACTAATGTGGAAGGTATGTATGATTGTTACTTGATATTTTTGCTGGATTTTTGCTAGATATTTTTAAGCAAAACATTTTTTCAGCTCTTCCTTCTTGATAGAGGAACATTTGCTCCAATGTTAATAATAGTCACTGATTCTTAAAGGAATTTCATAATGAATTATTTTTTAAAACTAAATTGTATGTTTGTGCACACACATAGCTTTGACCCTGAATAGGATTCTAGTACCATGTTTCAGAACGTGAGACTTAATGAGTTCTTTTGTTGGAAATCTCCCATCTAGTTTAGATGAGCTATTTTTGTAGGAATGGATTAACTTGCCTGTTTTCTTTTGGTGGGAAAGTTTATTATTTGTAAAGGTTCTTATATTTTAAACATAAGTTTTTATGGGAAAGCTTTCATTTTAAGGATGTGAAATTTTTGGTTTAAAGTACTTACTAGTCATTGCATGTTTACTTGGTAGATAGTTGTTGTCCCCCCATATCCATGGAGAGTTGGTTCCAGGAACCCTGCAGGTCCTTGGACCTGTGGATGCTCAGGATCTGTATAAAATGTAACCTGTCCAGTGTATGCACATCTTCCTTCATTCTTTAAATCGTCTCTAGATTAACTTAGAATTCCTAATGTAGGTGAGCAAATAATGACATGGAAAAAGTCTATACATGTTCATTACCCACAGCTTTTTTGGGTATTTTTGATCTATGGTTGGTTGAATTCACAGATACAGAACCCCACAGATGGGGAGGGCCAAATATATTTCTCTGTAGATAAGACTTCTATTTCTTGATGTAAAAAAAAAATCCTATTTTTTAACTTTTTACAGATCCATTAGATGTGATAGATGTGGATTGGTCTGGTCTTATGCCAAAGCATCCAAAAGAACCACGGGAGCCTGGGGCTGCACTCTTAAAATTCACACCTGGAGCTGTTATGCTGAGGGTTGGAATTTCTAAAAAGTTGGCCGGTTCTGAGCTCTTTACCAAAGTAAAAGAAACATGTCAGAGACTATTAGAAAAACCCAAAGGTAATTCCATTTTACTTTATAATGCCTGCTATAACTGTTAGATGCTTTTGAAAAGAATTCTGTTTGGTTGTCATATATACTTATCCTGTAGGAACTGGTTTTTTGTTTGTTTGTTTGTTTTTGGTACCAGGGATCAAACTCGGGTCCTTGAGCTTTCAAGGCAGGCAGCAGAACCACTGAGCTAAAACCCCGGCCTGAGGAACTGGTTTTTAAAGGAATCACTCATAGTCATAATTTAATCTTCATGGTCAAAATTCCTTTCTTAAATTTATTTTGAGAAAAATTTAATCCCACAGAAAAATTGCATAAATGGTAAAATGAACTTGCTGTATCAAAAGTTCTTTGGGGTTCTGGGGGCCGGGGTATAGCTCAGTGGTAAAATGTGTGTTTAGCATAAGCAAGGCCTTGGGTTAGATCCCAACACTGAAGAGAAGTTTGGTCTTTTAACAGGTGAGTTCAAATGTCAGTGTCCAGGGGTTTACCTGGGGCACAATAATGCACAACCTAGAAAAATACGTATTTTGCATGCCTAAGGAAATTGTGTGTCTTGCCAACTCTTTCCCCTGGGAACTGAATATTTCTATCCAAATGCTGATGTCTAAGTTGAGCCTTTAACAAAATTGTAGTGAAGCATGATGGTGCTTGCCTATAATCTCAGCCTTCTAGGAGGCTGAGATCAGCCCAGCCTGAGTAACAGTGACTTAATAAGACCTTGCATCAAAATAAAAAATTAAAAGGACTGGGGATATAACTCAGTGCAGGGGCTATAGGTTCAAGCCCCAGTGCTGCCAAAAAAATAAGTTGTGAAGAGCTTGGTCAGTGTGAGCAGGTGGTCTGGATTCCATAGGCCTAGCCCTTGCTACTTATTGTTTACTCTCTCTCTGTCAGTGTTATCATGGGCAATTGGGAATGATTGCACCTCAGCTATGTGCTGCAAGAGCAAATGTGCCCTGCAGGGCCTGGGATATAGAGCACTGGAACTGCTGCTGTTTTGTCTGAAAATTGTATCACATTGAGTACTCACCCTATTGAAACAACTTTAATTATTCTGTAATCCCTTTGTTTATTGATTCTGGAAGTTTTTGCTCTTTCACTTTATCTGGTGTCTATCATAATTTTTTGGTAGCTTATTAATAATTGTATTAGGAGAGGTGGAATACATGACAAAAAGAAGGAAAAGGAGGTTAAGGTAAAAGCAATAGTCATGTCCCTGAGAACAAAATTGTTTAGTTAAAAGAATTAATATAAAACTAATATACATCTTACTAACATAAAACTGGAAAATATTATTTTACAAGTGTTGTGAATCAATGCCCCTTTTTCCTCCTTTTAGCATATATAGTAAAAATTTTTGATTTTACTATGACCCAATAAGCAGTGTATGTGCATGAAAAATATGTTAATTATAATTGTGAACATGTATTCACCTGAAAAGTGATCAAAGACTTGGATTCTTGTCCCCAACTTTTTTTACTCTAGTTGGATCTGTGGTCTTAATCAAGTAACTCCTGTGACCCTCAGTTTCATTTGTAAAGCAAGGGAATAAAACCCTTAAAATCTTATCTCCCTCTAAAGCTGTTTTCTTCTGTGAATTCTGCTAATGACATTTTAAGTTAAAATCCACTTTGATTTTACTATGAAATAAAATTTGACCCTTGGTGACTTAGGTAAAACAAAACTATGAACTGTTTGTAAAAGGAAGATTAGGTAAAACATAAAACCATAAGCTATTTGTAAAAGGAAGATTTGATTATTACTTAACAGTCAGAACTTGCTAGTTTTTTGCCAAAAAAAGTTGATTGTATTACAGAACTGATAAATGCTACTGATATGTATTTCATATGGAATTGGACTTTGTTTATGACCATATTCATATGATTATCTATTATCACTAATTATGCCATTGGCCACGCCATTGCCTAACACATAGTATATATTCAGTAAATGTTTGTGAAATAATTGATTACTGACCTGTACAGACCATTTGCTCTATTCTCATGACCCAACATGAAAGAGAGCATATATCCACGCTATATATAATTTAAAAAACAAACCTAGGCTTACCACAGAAAACTTACATGTCTACTGAAATTGCTTTTATCTAGGTTAACTAATTGGAATATAGTTATGTTCTCTTAAGCAAACTTTCCCAATTATTTTGCATCCTTTGTTTTCCTTCTAAGTATGTATTTAGTGCCTTTTGAGTAATATAGTGCTGCGCAGTTCACAACCATAAACAGACTGGAAGTTTAGTCATGTTATTCTTTCTGAGGAAGTTGACAGTTTCTCTAATCTTTTATGTATGTAAAAGATGTTTTGTATTGTACTGTTGTAAAAACAGAACGGACCCCAATAAAAAGAATCTGTCCTAACTAGCAATTTCCCTAGAAGGCCATGGGTTCAATGCAGATTTCTTCTGTTTGTATATATAGTGGAATAATAGTTCATGTTTTTGTTATCATTGGTTCACTCAGACATTAGTGAATCATCTGAGGAACTGCTTGTTTTTTTTTTTTCTTCATGCTATCCCGGCCCAGTTATTGAGATTCTGATTCTAGAAGGCTGATAAATTTTTTTTTTTTCGGTACCAGGGATCGAACTCAGGACCTTGCGCTTGCGAGACAGGCGCTGGAACCACTGAGCTAAATCCCCGGCCCCTTGGGCTGATGAATTTTAAAAAGCTCTTTAGATGATTCTGATAGACTTCAGTGTTTGGGGACTAATCAAGTTATTGTTTATTTAAATTTTTCTTATGTTGTATACCTACCAGTTAGGTATAGAACATGTTAACTTACATATATCTGGGAAACTAGTTTCTTGTTAATGATCTAATCTCATTACTTATGCTGTGCAGTTCAGAAAATTCAGATGAACTGTGTAGTGCAACTTTACTTGTTCTCAAATTTGTCTTTTGTCTTTACCCAGGTGCTATTTACTGCTTTCCTTTGTGAATTCTAAAAGTAACCTATCTGATTATGTTATAGTAACCTATCTGATTATGATAGAGTACCTAGAGTTATTTATTGGGGTTACTAACTGGTTCTGTTCTGTTATTTTGACTTCCCTTCTGTCTCTTTTTAACCCTTACTTTTTGGTCAAATCTTTCCTTCTTTTCCTTGATTTTTGTGAGGTTTTTTTGTTTGTTTGTTTGGTACTAAAGATTAAACCCAAGAGCTGGGGATTTAGCTCAGTGGCGCTGTGCCTGCCTGGCAAGCGCAAAGTCCTGAGTCCAATTCCTGGTACCAAAAGAAAGAAAAGATTAAACTCAATAGTGCTCTACCACTGAGCTATATCCCTAGCCCTTTTTATTTTGAGATAGGGTCTTGCTAAGTTGCCCAAGCTGTCCTCAAACTTGTCATCCTCCTCCTGCCTTAGCCTCCCAAGTATCTGGGACTACAGGCATGTGCCACTGGGCCATACTATTTTTGCAAAATTTTAATGTTTTTGTTCTCTGTTCCATATAGTAACTTAAAATTAAGTGATTTTAGTTTAATATACTGTCCCAGGTTTTTATGATGATTTACAGGTTGGCTAATACATAATCACTTTTTTTTTTTTTTTGGTACCAGGAATCTAACTCAGGACCTTGCGCTTGTGAGGCAGGTGGCAGAACCACTGAGCTAAATGCCCAGTCCCATAATCACTTAACTGTTTCCTTTTTAGAGGTCAGACTTGAATATTATTACATTTGAATTTTGCTAAATTAATAAGGTCCTGAAATCTAGAACTTTAGTAGTTAATAGTAGGCAACATGCTAAATTTAATTTCAATAATTCTTTACTTGAACTTCTCATAGTAATCAGTGTGTTTAAAATTAGCAACATAACTACATGTTGAAGGTCCTTTACAGAGAATATTGCCTTTTGTATGAAATAATTTTCACCAATTCTGTTAATTTTGATAAATCTTAGACTCAAGGAGCATTTAATTAAGCCATTGGTAGCGCTTTCCTACCTCAGGAAAATTTAATGCATGTTTATTTTTATTAAAAGATGCTGACAGTCTTTTTGAACATGATTTGGGGGCCCTCAATATGGCTGCGTTACTACGAAAAGAAGAAAGAGCAAATCTTCTTAGTAATCTTGGACCATGTTGTAAAGCATTATGCTTCAGACGGGATTCTGCAATCCGAAAACAGCTTGTTAAAAATGAGAAGGTACTGTAATTTGCTTGGGAAAAAAACAAAGTGAGAAGTATGAATGGCATGTTTTTCATTTGATTGGTTTAAAGTGAATTCTCATTTTACCTGTTTTTATGAATTTGGACTCCTAGCCTTTCCTATACACATAAAGGAAGAATCCTATTAAAATTTCTAATACTTTTCATTTTACTTTAATAGTACTGATTGGTGATTATTTTGAATAACAAAATTGCCCTAAATAACAATTATTTGTTATTCAAAACTTCATGTATAAGAAAAATATATTCTTTTTGTGAGATATTTTACATTTGTGAAAAGTTTCTTTACATAAACAAACATGTTAGAAATTTTTTCAAAGATCAACAGCAAAAAAATCGCAGATAAAGCATAGAGAGGTTATTGACAGGGATAGTGTTTCTGAGGCTGTACCAAGTTGGAATAGAGAAAAATAAATGAAGATGATTATATACTGTATAAGCATTTACTTGAGAAGAATAAAGAAAGTTGAAAAGTAAGGTAAATAAAAATTAGATTTGATTTGGAAGAGATCCGATAATTTGAAAACATCTTAGTGTTTTTAAAGTTAAAAAACTGTCCTTTTTATTTGGAGGTGGTGGTCAGCATGGGTAGTATGATAAAGAAAGTTGGTTCTAAAAAGTTAGAAAACATTAGCATACTAACTTAAGGAAATCTAGGATTACCTTTGGATATATAACATTGCTAAACAAAAGGATACCTCATTAAAGAAAGATACCCAGGTTTGGAGGGTGGTAAATTCATAAAGAATGAAGATGATTTCATCTCCAGAGATTAAAATGGAAACAGATGAAGAATAGGAGACTTTTAAAAATTCACTTTTTGACTGTGTAGTCACCATGTCTTCCCTACTTAAATGCCTGCCCAAAATTACCTCTGACAGAGTTGCTGCAGTCATTCTTCCATTGCTGCTATTCTCATTTCAGTGTGTACTTAAGTCATCTTATTCTTTTGCCAAGGTGCTCATCTCAACTTGTAGCTTTCTCAACTGAACATTTCTCTGAGAGAATTGAGCCTCCCGTTTCCTAAGCATGTGTGTAATGAATCACTGTTTCCAGTTACCACCAACCTTGGTAGTGAATTGAAAAATAATCATTCACTTTATTTTCTGTCTGGTTCAGATAAGAAATTCCAGTTAAGAAGGATTGTATGGCTTATAATCTCTTTAGAATCCTTTAAAAAATAGATACATTATTTATTACATTTGTTGGTTCCTCTGTTGATAATGCGTCTCAAAAACTGTGACTACTAGAAACACCTGCAAATTCCTCATGGAGAACCATTGTTCAGAAACTTAGTTCTTCAGTGTAATCACAGGTAATTACAGCATGTGACACATGATGAAAATTTTAATGGCACATTATAAATGTCTTAAACGATCCACCTAAACAAAATGTTAGAAGTTTTTAGATTACTCAGTGTTCGGAATACCAGCACAAGCCAGACATGGTGGTATGTGCCTGTAATCCCACCATTTTGGAGGCTGAGGCAGGAAGATTGCCCAGAATTCAAGGCCAGCCTGATAACAAAGCCTTGTCTCAAACAACCACATAAATAAATAAGTAAATAAATAGTATTAGCACAAAAGCCGAAGTAGGAAGAGGGGCATAATTAAAGAAAAATTATTTCAGATATTAGCCTTATGAAAAATCTAAGAAAAACAAAAACCTTTAAATTCTATGTGAGTATAAAAGGAATGTGCAGGATAAGGGCATTCACTTGGATAGGTGGTAAGCACTATCAGATGAATAAAAGCAGAATGCTGTTGACCCAGTATAGTGCCATCCGGCTCTATGTAGGAGAATGGCTGTTGTAGAGTATGTGAATTATGATGCATCTCTGAAGAAATAAGTAAAGGATACAAAAAAATGGATTTTAATCTCATTTTCATATTATAATAAAAGTAAAGTTTGCTGAACCTACAGGAAACAAAAGGGAAGTAATAGGAAACAGAAAGCAATGAAATTGAAGATAAAAGAAACTGAAGAAACTGGGTGAAAGCACAAGCCGGTCCTTTGAAGGAGTGACTGGGACTGGTGATCTTCTGGGGAACTGACCAGAGGGTGGGGCAGGGGGGCCACAAAGTGCCCTTGTCAGGGGTGAGGGTAGGCACAGCGGTGCATGTCGCACAGGTGTGGGAAGGGAAGGGAAGTAAGGGAGTTCTGTGAGGAAGCTCACGCTCTTAAGTTTGACAGTTCACCGGAAGTGGAATGAGTTCCAAAGCCACGAACTACCAAAGCCTAAGAAATAACAGACATCTGAATAGTCTTTATCTGTTGATCTTTTAAATTAAATTTGTAGTTCAAAGGCTTCTGAAAAAGGAACCTCCAGTCCAATCCTAGTGGTTCCATTGACAAAATCTGCCAAACATTTAAAGAAAAAATTACAGCAATTCTAAACAGTTTCTTCCAGAAAACTGAAGAGACAGTAACACTTCCCAACTCATTTTATGAATCCAGCATTGAAAGATATCACAAGACAACTGCAGATGCTATCTTTCATGGAGAGAGACGCAAAAATTCTCAAAAATACTAGGAAATCATTTCTGCGTATCATCATAGCCAAGTATGGTTTGTCCTGTGAATGAAAGAGTGATTCTGCGTTTTAAAATTAAAATTACTCAATGTTACCTACCATATCAACAAAATAAAGGAAAAATGTATGATCATATCAATCAGTGCAGAAAAATTGTTTGATAAAACTTAACATTCCTATATAATAAAAATACTCAGCAATTGTAATTAGAAGGGTTTTTACTTTATAAAGAGTATGTATGAGAAAAATCTGTAACATCTTAGCTAATAATAATAGTTTGAATTCTCCCCCCCTGAGTACAAAGACAAGACAGAGATGTTCACCCTCACTGCTCCATTCAACATCATACTGGAAGTCCTAGCCAGTTTGAAAGTGCATACAGATTAGGAAAGGCAGAAGTAAAGCTATTTTATTCATAGACAGTAAAGTAACCTAGCATGTTTAAGAGACACAGCAAAAGAGAAACTTCAAAAATATTTGCATTAAAATTTTTCATGAAAACCATTGTTCAGGACTTTGACTCTTACAGGAGATTCAAGGAACTTACCAAAAAAATTCCTAGAACAAATAAATAAGTTTAGTGAGGTCATGAGATAAAAAGTCAGGATATAAAAAACAATAGTACAGGCCGGGGATTTAGTTCAGTGGTTCAACCACCTGCCTTGCAAGCACAAGGTCCCAAGTTCGATCCCCAGTACCAAAAAATAAATAAATAAATAAATAAATAGTACTTTGATAATACTATCAATGAGTAACTAGAACCCAAGATGTTAAAGAATTCCTTTTATAGTGGCTCCCAAGAAATGAAGTAGATATCAAAAAATAGGGTGAATGTTTAATTTGTTATAGTAAAGGACATTGCTTTGATCCCCCTCAAAATATTCCCCCTCACTTCAACATATCCCATCGTTCTTGGCACTTTCTTTGTCTTCTCTTGCATGTTTTTAGTTGCAGTGTCATGATTGCCTTAATGTCCTAAGTGGATGCAAAACAGTTTGACATTCACCATAGATTTTCATCACATGTTTTGTACTTAGGTATGAGTCTAACAAAACATGTGCAGAGGGGCCGGGGATTTAGCTCAGTGGTTCTGCTGCCTGCCTTGCAAGCGCAAGGTCCCGGGTCTGATATGGTTCTCTCTCAGATTGATTTGCAGATTTAACAGAATTCCAATAAAAATCCAACCAGAATTTTTTTTGTAGATATAGACAAGTTGATTCTAAAGTTTATATGGAAAGTCAATGCTATTATACTCGCCAAAGTTTTACAAAACAAGAATGATGGAAAATTTGTACTACTCTGTTTCAAGACTTACAGAAAACTATACTACTTAAGATAGTATGGTATTGGTGAAGAAATAGGTCAGTGGAACAGAACAGAGGCCAGAAATAGATCCCACAAATAGGACCAGGAAAGGGAAAGAAAAGAGTTTTGGGGTTATTATATTAACTTTTTGAGATAATTTTTCTTCATCAAAATTTAAAACTTGTCCATTGGAAGATACTGATTAGAGAATCTAAAGACAAACATAGTACAAAAAATTACTTATAAAATATATTTTTTAAAAAAACTCTATCTGAAATATAATATTCTCAAGACTTAACAGTAAGAAAACTAATTTTTAAAAATAAGTAAAAGATTTGAACATAACATTTCACCAAAGAGCATATATGAACAGCCATTAAGACCATGTTTAACATCATTAGCTATTAGGAAATGTAAATTAAAACTGCATTGAAATACCATTAACACATTCACAAGGGCTGTAATTCATGTCTTACTGCTGTGAAATGGAACAGTCATGCCTGTATCTCCAGTGGTTCAAGCCAGCAGTAACATGTTAACTACCTTTTTCACTAAGAAACCACCAACAAATCTCAAGAATATCAAGTGTTGGTAAGGTTGCATAGTGATAAGAACTCATATACTGTATTATTGAATGCAAAAAGGTAGAGCCACTTGGGAAAAGTTCGGTTATTTCTTACAAAGTTAATTATACATTTACTGTATGATCCAGCAGTTCCATTACTAGTATTTACCTTAAAAAGATAAAAACTTATTTTCATGTAAAAACCTATGCACAGAAGTTTATAACAGCCATATTCAACTCCAGCAAACCAACTCCATTGTTCTTCAACTAGATAATAGATAAACTGTGGTGTATACATAAAAGAGATTACTAGTTACCAATAAAATGTAGCCAGACTATTTGTACTGTCAACAATATAGATGAATCTCAAAGGGATTATGCTGAAGAAAAGAACTAATTTCAAAAGTTATATTTTGTATTTACATGACATTCTGGAAAAGGCTATATTACAGTGGAAGATGTATCAGTGATTGCCAGGGGTTAAATTTGGGAAGTGGATATGGATACAAAGGGGGAAGGAACTAAAGGGATTTTTTGGGTGTAATGAAACTGGTCTATCTTGATTGTGATCAAGGTTATATGAATCTGAGTTAAACCTCATAGTTACATGCATAAAAAGCTAATTTTCCTGTATTACAATGACAAAATATTTTTTAACAAGTATGCAGATGTGATCTAGGAACCACTGTCATTTGTTTTTGAAGATCCCAGAAAAGAAGAGAAATAGCAGAGGGATGGAAATATCCAAATCTTAGTCTGATTTCTTTATCCACATGGGTAGGGTACATAACTTTCCAAAAATGCTAATGTAGCTTTAGATTATATTAATAGATATAAGTACATTTTAGTATGTGATAGTAGTACCTAGTGTATTACATGACCAGTAGTCTTCTAGAGAATTCATTCCATTCCAGAGCCCAAATTTTATGAACATTACAAACCAATATGAAATGTTGAGTGTTTTGCTTGCAAAAGAAAAACAAGAGGAAGGAAGTTATGTCTTATCTTCTAAGAATTTAAGTTTTGTTAAGTAAAAATAAGATTGAGTTAGGTTGTAACTCTGGTAGAGATTTTATTTCATGGAAGAAATAGTGCCATTCACCAATAGGATGTGTAAATATGTTTTGTGTTTATTTTGTCATTGGAAATGGTAGGTAAAAAACCTATTCATTATTACTTCTTGGGAACTGTTGAGAGGATTCCTACATTAACCAAAAAAGAATTAAGGTGTGTTATGTACATGCACCAACTTCCTGTGATGAATGTAACAATTATGTACTGCAAACATGTACTAACACAAATAAAGCAAGAGGTCAAGATGCCCTCTAAAGTTTTCTGTCTTTTAAAACTAAGATTATTGAGTCTGAAACATTTTGTAATTTCGCTTTTAAATCCAACAAAGCAAATTTAACATCCATTCAAAGCCAAGTACTCTTACAACTTTGATATTTCTGATAAGGTTAATTTCCCCGTTTTTCCTTTTGTTGTCTAGTAATGTACATCTTTTTTTTTTTTTTTCCACATGTAGGGTACTGTAAAACAAGCTTACACAAATGCTCCAATGGTAGACAATGAATTACTACGATTGAGTCTTCGGTTATTTAAGCGAAAGACTACTTGCCATGCCCCAGGACATGAAAAGATTGAAGATAATAAAATATCACACTCCAATATGCAACAGGAACTGTGTGTGTCCTAAGACTGAAATTCAGCATGATACTTTGGGTACTATCTTCCTTCGACAGTGCATATTCTTTTTCAAAGTTTAGTTTGACAAACATTATCAGTGACAAAGGCAGAAAAAGGTTTGTCACCGTACTAAAAGAGTGAAGAACATTGATCTCTAGAGACACTAGTTTTTGACTAACTTAAAATTTTACATTAATTTTTATACCATACTTAATACTCATGCAAAATAATGTGAAACCATCTAGGTAGCCTGTTCTGTACCTTTTGTTAAAGCTGAAGATTTTGTAAAACCTCATCACTGCTCTTCCAGCCTATCAATATTTTTTTTTTGGTACCGGGACTCGAACTCAGGACCTTGCGCTTTCGAGGCAGGCAGTGACACCACTGAGCTAAATCCCCAGTCCTCTATCAATATTTTTTATGGAATGGAACCACGGATTTATATTCTGGATCATCCATACAGAACAATGATTTTAACAGTGTGTTCATCAAAATAATTGCACACATTGTGGAATACCGTGTTGAATAGAACATTTGAAAGGGAATGCTGGTCTAGTGTAGTGTATTTGTAGGCACATCTCCAGAAGGAAGCCAAAATATTCTTTTTAAGTTCTAAAAAAATTACTTCATGAGTCTTTGATTTTTTAAAAATGTGTGTATATTGTTATGGTGTATATTGGTGTCTTTGTGCTCTGAATAATTTCTTGTTTATTATCAAAGACTGTTATCATTTTATTTTTAATAAACATACCTTTCCTTTTCTTGTTCAAGATTTATGTACTTGGCTGTTCGTTAGTTGTATGCTGATATTCTGAAGCATTTACCATCAACATTACAGTTTCATGTTTCAGACACTTTTCCTGCTTCTTTCTTCATTGAACTGCTGTACATAGTGTGACACATACTGAGGATGCACTTCAAATATAGCTCAGTAATTATTTGAAGCAAACCATTAGTTAACAAACCTATATAATTGATGAGGTTTATAATCCTACTGTTACATTGTTCAGTATTATAACCTTTAGTTACATCAAACTGCATCCATCCTATACTATGTAATACAGAAAACAGCTTTACTTTTTAAAAATTACAGTATATCATCTTTGTTCTCTACATGTTCAACTCATAAAGTAGATGTGTAAATTGGAAATGAACTGCAACCTGCAGAATTTGTGGGCAGATAGAAGTAATGACAATAAAAAAAAGACAGAATTTTAATTTGGTCATGGCCTTCCAGAGTTTTGGTGAAGTATGAGTCTGTATTACCTATATCAGTAGTTTTGTGTCCTCTTTAAAGGTTACATAATGACTCTTAAAAGTTTTTGTTTGCTTCAAGAAACATTTGTTGTGCAGTTAATTTTTTCAAATGACTTTGAAATCGTGTATAAGAAATTTGCAAACAGAACAGAAAACAAAAAGTAATCACATTTTCCTGGCATCTTTTCCTTTATTAAATGTTTTGAATAAAGAAAAAAAAATTATCCCAGAGAATGAATGCCCTTTAGGAAACTATTTCCTGATTAAAGTGGATGAGATTGTTTTCTGCAGCATAAATATTTAAAATACAAACATTTTTAAATTTAATTTTGTAATGGCTTAAAATTCCTAGAATTTTCTTTTGGCTTCTTATAATTGTGGAATATGACAAAAATAATTGTTTCCTCATTTGTCCATGGGTCATATTTCAGAAATTATTCATGGAATAAAAACTACAGTTAAATCTGCAACTTAAATCTATTGCCATTTTAGCTTTGAATATCTTTTACATTGCAAAAGAAAATTCAGAACGATCCATTGTTCACTTGGTCAACCATATTCTGAGCTTCATGTACTGTTAAGTCTCATTTTTTTAAATTCAATCATACTCAGTATTATTAACCATATATCTGTAAAGTTCTACAATAAATCTTTTTGTTGGAGTTTTCATAAAAGCTTTTGGGCCATATATGAAAGCCTCAATCAAACTAGTATTTCTGAAAAATCTTCCAATCAGTAAATTATTTTCTAGTACCCTTGAATTTGTCTCATAATTGAATCAGATTTGTCCATTTGTCCTAATTGCACGACTGGATTCAAGCTGCTCATTGGAGTTGTCTAAATAGAGAAGGGAGAAAAGTTATGTCTGCAATCCAAAATAAATGAAAGTTGACAAATAATTAGATAATTGAGAGCTGTTTGATTTTTAATTTTTTGGGCAGCTATCTCACCTAAAGGGTTGTACTAACTGACAATAGCTAACTTTATTTCACAAAAACTTGTAAGTATGTTTAAGTAATAAATATGCTGAAAAATCTAACCTGCCACTTCTCTATTCTGACCAGTGAATACAGGTTCTCGTCCCCATTTTACCCCGTAACTACCTTAAGATTTTGTGATTTGTCCTTATCAACTTGAACATGTGTGGCATCAACAGAATTATCTTACTCTTTTCTGTTCACTTGAGTAAAAATTAAGTTGTGATTACTATTGTTTGTGATTTTTTTTTTTAATCCGAAAAGGAAAGCTATCAGCTAAACCTCAGCTTGCTATCCAACATGGTGTATGGGGCTGGGTATATAATTCAGAGGAGCATACCTTCCTCACATGCATGTGCAAGGCCCAGGGTGGGGAGTGGGAGGAGGGGGCGGAGGGGACTTTCAGAGGCGTGTTTCCTTTTTTTCTAGGTAAAATTCTATAGCTGTCTTTTAAAATAAATTTGAACCTGAACTTGCCTTATTATTTCTTTTCAAAATCACTAAACTACATAATAAACTTCTTTTATTCATTAGTTTATTTTGCTCTTTCCATTTGTATTTTGAATGCAGTGACATGTCCTGGGGGAAATCTGTGGTTTAAAATATGAAACAAGCTTGCTTGCTTGCTTGCTTGTTTGCTTGTTTGTGGTCCTGGGGATTGAGCCCAAGGAACACTGAGCTCATTATTTTGAGGTAGAATCTCACTAGATTGCCTATGCTGGGCTCAAACTTGGAATTCTCCTGCCTCAGCCTCCTGAGTAGCTAACATTACACGTGTGTGCCATCAGGCACAGCTAAAAGTATTGAATAATTTTCTACATGGGTCTGAAGACAATTTCTTAACTGTATTGAGCTATTCGTGTTCAGATTTTTGATTTTGTGTTGGTATAGATTTTTATGGGCTTCATAATTTTGAATAGTTTAAGCAAAGGTGGGAAATAGGTGATTTGAGATAATTTAAAAATGCAGTGTTTGTAATGAAAGGAAAAAACAGGGCTGTAATGGGAAATGGAATGGACATTGGGGATAAGGTACTATTTTAGAATGTAGTGGTCTTGTGAATGACACCTTAAAAAATAAAATGCAGCTAGCAGGGAAGAGCTTTTTAGACAGAAAGATTGGAATGAGCAAAGGTGTGAACTAGGGGAAAGTTCTTTGGTACATTACCAGACAGAAATATTAGTATTGCTCAGCATTAGGAAGAGATGGTAGGAGTGGGTGGGGGGTTGCTAGAGAGAAGGTCTAGAACAGTGCTGTTCAACAGAATTTTCCACAGTGATGGAAATGTCCTTTAAGTGCACTTCCCAGTACAGTAGTCAGTAGCCTCGTGTGCCTTTTATTAACACTAGACAGGTAGCCAATGTGACAGGAACTGAGTTTGTAAATTTTTGTTTGACATTAAATTTAAGTAGTTATATGTGGCTCATAGCCACCATTTTGAGCAGTATAGGCCTAAATCTTAGTATAGTCTTCCAAGTAGCATGTAAGATGAGCTCTAATAATATTTGTGTTTTGATTATTTTCTATTTATAGCAAGTGCTACTGAGTTACTGCAGCAATCTGGCATTTCTTTTTAGAATAACTATTAATGACTAGACAATTTAAATACTGGTAGCATTGAGAACAAAAACTTACTGATGTGCAAATAAATTGAGAATATGCAGACTATGAAGTTGGAATTTTATCTGAGAGGAAAGAATAGAGAATAATGAAATGATACAGATTTAGAAAAGGCAAACAAGGAAAAAGTAAGATAAAATGACAAATTTAAAGCACGTAGATGTAAACCAAATGTATTTGTAAATTTCATTAAATGAAAACAGATTCAGCACCCCAGTTAAAGAAAAATTATGAAATTGCAGAACAAACTATGTGTTGCTTATAAGAGATTGAGCTAAAACATAGGAGACTAAAATCTTGAAAGTAAAATGATGGGAAAAAGAGATGTGAACATCAAGAGAAAACCTCTGACATTAGTCATCCCCATGCATTTCTTTGTATTCTGGTCATTGGCAAGTGGCAATTTTCTAACTCTATTACTACATTTATTGGGATTCTACTTAAAATATTTGCTTTCCCTACCCATGTCTTCCTTTGTTGATCCAGTTATGTCAGTGTGAACTCAAGAGTTCTCAGTGAGTTTATTACTATCATTATTTGTTTTCTCAAAATATCCAAGTTTTAGACTTGCTTGACAATACTAAAATTTAATGCCACTTTAGGATCTGCTTCTATTATGTTTCTGCTTTGTATTCTTTACTCTTAGATTTGGGTGCTTTTCTTTTTTTTTTTTTTTTGGTACCGGGGATCGAACTCTGGCTCTTGCGCTTGCAAGGCAGGTGGTGAAACCACTGAGCTAAATCTCCGGCAGATTTGGGTGTTTTTTATTATATGCCAATATTTTGTCTGCAGAATTGTTTGTAGAAGAAAATTGGGGTCTCAGATGCTGTTGCCTCCTCCAGAAGCAAGTTTTTTTTATCCAAGTCAACCCAGTGACTGGAGTCTGTGCTGTAGTTTATTGGTCTGAATTATCTAGTCTTTCATTAACAAGAGAACAAATTTATTTTTTTTCTTCATTTCCTTTTCTTTTAGTTTTTATTTCTGCATTTATTAACTATGTTTCATTGAGTTTCCCACAGTATATATTTTTCTTAATTATTTTCCTAAGCTCATGTTTTTTCCTACCATTTTCTCACCATCTCTTCCTTGACTTGTATTTTGCTCTGTTGACTTTTTTTAAGGAGGTAACTGAATCACTGGATTTTAATATTCGTGGCATGATGTTTTCATCTGTTATGCAATATTTTTCAGATGGCAAATGTTTGGTCATTTTTGCTAATTTCTCCTAAGTTTTATAAATGTTATTTTTTTATCAGTCTCATGGCAGTTTTTCTTGATTACTCACATATTTGCAGGAAATCCAGGCCATGATAGCCTTTCATATTCCATAATCATGTTTATCATCTCTTCAGCTAATGCCTCAGAGCTGTACTGCCTTTAGTAAATACAACCTCTTCCTGTGATTTCTTGTATAACTCTGCCTCCTTTTCTTCCCTCAACCAAACTAGATCCTGGAGGCCTTCCACAGCTAGCCTTGCTCTCCTCTGCCCCTAATTGTTATTAACAAGGGACATCACTTTTGCTGCTTTGAGGGAATGAGGGGGAGACTTCACATTCAAAAAAGTGATTTTTGCTGAGATCTGCTACTGCTGCCTACCTCTTCTCACTACTCTTCCTCCTTTGCCCATACTACTGCTGAATCTCAGCTGTTTGGGCAGCCCTTACGTCTATTTTGGCATCCTAGTTTCAGTGGAAATAGAATTTATGGAGTTTCTTACAGTCTTTTTGTTTGTTGTTTACAATTTATAGCAGAAAGATAACAGATTTATGCAGCATGTTCCTCCTGAAGTCCTTTCCACTGAAATTTAATCCAGTGATCACTAGTTATCAGCTGTGTACTTCTCTATCACCATACATTCTCAGATAAATATTCGCGATGAACTAACTTTGGAGTAATATCAATATAGACCAAACAAAAGTTAGTTCATTTCTTTGACATCATCGTGGTGCATAAGAATCATACACTGTTTGTTCCTATTTCTGTTGTCATAACCATGTCACTTAGCCACCTCTTAACAGCAAAGGAAGCTGGGAAATTGAGTATTTCACTTTTCTAGCTTGTGTATTAGAAATGACCAGGGGAGATAAAGGTTGGATATAGGTGTTAAGTTTGCCAACAATAGTACTGTATCTTCCATGATTTCATTGCTGAGTTGAAGCACTGGTAACAATTTGGGCCTGCTGATGCCAACTTCATGAGACTAATGTGTTGTCATTTCTCAAAATTGTGCATGCCCACACCACCCTCAAGAACATGTTGGCTTCCTTTATAAAAACATACTCAAAAAATAAGATTTTTAAAAATCAAGTATAATAAATTGCATTCCATGGCCTGTAAATGTGCGACATCACAGTTCGTCTAAACCCAACAGCAGCTCATTCTTGCATAATCAGTGACAAGACAAAACATCCTTCAATTTATATAAGATACCTCCTTGGCACATTCAGACAGGAACTGGGGAATTATACTTTATTTTTGATCTCTAAAATGTGATTGAATGTAGAATGAATGATTGAATGATAATTATGATTTTAAAGTACATTCAGCTTGGAAACTAACAAAGTAATACAAAGACTTCAGCTAATATGAAATCCTGGGTCTTATGTCTTTATTTGGACCATCCAACAGCTTTCTGGCTGCTACTTATTACTTGGACACTTTGCTTGAGTTCCATCTTCCTAATTCACACTCTACACTATTACCAGAACAGTCTGTAAATCATACTAGTGATTAACAGGGTTTTTAGCTGGGGTCCTGCCACAGCCAAGCTGTCTAAGCATAAGCCAATCAACTTGTCTGTCACTTTCTTATTACAAAGGTAAGAATTGGGTTGTAGCTTGTTTTTAAGTTTGTAGGACTTTTTCTCTCACTTCTGCTTCAAAAATCTGGATTTTTGCATGGAATAAAGTCCAAACACTGCCTGATCAGTGAAGGTCCTTCACAGTCTAATGCAAAATGAACTTTTAGCCACATCTATGGCCCACCACAACTTTTCTTTCCTCCATGTGCACATCATCTTCTATGAGGCTCTTCTACTGCCTCAGCATCATGGACACTGTCATACTCACTTTTGTGTGTCCATGGCAGGCAGTGCCCCACACACCAGCAGTTTCCCTGGGAATGGTGAATTCTGCCTCCCCTGATTTGAATGCCACCTCCTGCTCACCAGCCCCCTCCTCCAGTGCCTCTTCCCTTTGAGTTTGTGCTTGTGCTTCAGATACATCAAATGTCACTTCTTCACTGGAACTTTTCTCATTCCAAACTTCTCATTTTATTGTTTTACCTGTTACAGCTACCTCTAGCAGTGCATTCTATCATATTGTCTATATTTAGATTAGTTGGTTATGTATATGTGTGGCTTATGTTTTAAACCACTGTTAAAAGATAAATTATGGCACATTAACATTTAAAGCTTTTATTTGAGCAGTTAACAATTCATGAATTGAGCATCTCAAAATGGGAAATGGTTTGAGATAACAGTCTTATTCCCAGACCTCAGTTTGTCACTGAACAGGGTCAAAGGAGGTCCTCCACCTCAACTCACTTGGGGTAGGTTCGTCAACTCATCACAGAAAATCGATTCGGGACACTATTAGTGTGAGGCATAAG